TTTCAATGTCTCTTCAGGGACCTGGATCCTAGATCCTCCTGGCTTAACTGATTAACTGAATAAACAGTTGGGAACCTGAGTGGTAGATTTCTGTGCTCACAGCCCAATTGTGCAGCTGTTTTCCCTGTTGGACAAGCATGGACAAACATCAACCTGATTGTCCGTCCTAAAGAGCATAGCTTGTCCCTTTAATTTCCATCTTAGAGAGCTAGACACTGATTAACTCCACACCCAGGTGCACATAGCAGACTTGAGAACAGTCCTCAGGAGTATTCAAATGCCTAAACCTGTTGAAAAACTGTCATCTTCACTGAAGGAAATAATCCAACAACAAAGACAAAACCATAAGAACAAGAAATGCTCTGCACTTTGACCCTGAATAACACAGAAAAAAATCCAATTATGACTGCAACATGCTTGCAGTGCATAACCACAAGGTGAGACACCTTCAGTGCTAGATCAAGAGAGGATAGGAGAAAGCTTTAAAAGTGGAATGGTGGCTTAGAGTGAAAAAAAAACTTCATATTCTTATCAAAGTCATAGCTGCTCTGGAGGCCACCCATTCACCATCTAAAGATCTGAAAAAGTGTAGAGGATCCAGAGTACCTACCTCACTCACCTCTGATCCAGCGCCTCCTTCTCCTAGCTGCCCAGGTAAACTCAACTTTCTTCTGAGGGCAGCTTCACCTTACACCCTGCCCCATCCTTCCTCTCTCCAGTCCCAGTATTCTCATCTCACATTCCTTTCATGGTCTTTAGAGTGTTTTTGTTTTCCTTTTATTTGATTTTCTTCTTGATCAGCACTGCTAGCAATTTGCATGTACTTTAAGTCTTTGCAATAAAAAAGCACTCGGTTAGGTAAATTGTCTCCTCTCTAAAGTTTTATTTCATTCAAAGTATTGCTCCTGGAAAGTTTCCTGCTTAGAAGAGCAGCGAATGTCAGCAAAGATCTGTTGCCAGTTCAGAGATACAATTCACACATACCTATCTCATTTCATAATTGACTTTTTGATTGGAGGATAAGTTGTGTGCTGGAGGATGCAGAAACCTGAAGTGCACAGCGTGATGAACTTCTAACCACGAATGCACAGACACACGCACGTACCCACGGCCCCGGTCAGGATGCAGACACGGTCACTTCCTGACTGTTGAGGCGCACCTTTGAGGAAGCTCTGGCCAAACTCCTAAGACACGCTTTCAACTCTGGCCCAACACTGTCTTCAACCCTTGGCCTTCGGCCCAGAGACAGGCACATCAGATCTTGATACTGCATCACTAAAACCATGTTCAGACAATTCACTTAAGAACAAGAATTCTAAATCAATAAATAGATAAATAACCAGTACTTCAATCACAGGCTAACAGAAGACTTTTCTATACTTTTTTTTTTCCAGTACCAGGGATCAAATTCAAGACCTTGCGCCTGCCAGGCAGGTGCTTATGCCACTGAGCTCTCTCCCCAGCCCCTTTTCTATACTATTCAAAACATGAGAAATTCATGATCCAAATCTAAATTGTTTTAAAGGTTAAAAAAAATACTAACGTTAATGTGTAGCTCATTTAAATGGAGCCATCTTTGAGAACACTTCGTACCCCTACCTGAGTGTCTCCCTTATCCAACCACACACGCTTGCTTACGTCTTTTGTCATAGCTCTGCTTGATCCCTGAAAACTGTCTCCCATTATCTGAAGTTTGGACTTATTCTTTTCACATATTTGAACTATATTCCTAGTTTTACACTCCCTCTCCAACCTCTTTCGTCCTCCCATTACTTGGAGAAGGAGCTCTTGGTATCAGCAGTATGCTCTAGACCTGGCCAATCTTTCAGTGTTGAGTTGAGAACACAAGCGCTGCTTTCTGCATGACCCTGGGCTCAAGACTCAGTGTTATTCCCAAGCCTCAGGTCTTTTACCCACATCTCATGGTTTTCTCAGTTCAACTTCTGTGATAGACTCTTCTCTCCTAGCCCCTCCAATAAAAGAGGGGGAGTAAAAATACAGAATCCATCTTCTTTCCATGCTACAGGGAGTCAAAGAAAACAATACTGCATATTATGCTGCATATTGTGCTCTTCAAAGCCTTCCTGATGGGAGCCCTCTACAGTGAGATACTCAATCACCCTGCCTTTTCCCTGGACATGCTGACTTCTGGCCTCTGCCCAGCAACCAGACATTAATTCCACCAGAGGCTCGTTCTTCTCTGTGCTCTATCCCTGGGGCTTTCCAGCTTGCAGGCAGAGGTGGTTGCCCAGTAATTAAACAGTTTTTGTTTCTTCATATCCTCAGAGAATGCCTAAATGTTAGAGTAATGAACAAAATTTATCATGAATGGGAATATAAAGGGTCAGATTGGTTTATATTTGTGAAAACCTACTATGGGTCAGTACTCTAGTAAATATTTTTCTATGTTCATCTTATTTAATTTTCATGAATTCTGACCTAGCTGCCTTCACTGCATCTACATTTCATTGATGAAGTGATGCACATGGAGAGGACCTGCACAAAGCTAACAGACCAAGGACTCTAGATTCAAATTCCAGCACACATAATGCTTTGCACTTGTTGCATATCACATATGTGTGCCACTTTAAACATGCATGTGCCAAGTAGAATGTCTTTGAGATATTGTTTTCAATCCCTTGGGTATATCTACAAGGGGGCTTGCTGCATTATAAGGTAGCCTCATTTTTAATTTTTTGAGAAATATCCAGACTCCGCTACATTGTTTGTACCACCTTAAATCCCCACCAACAACACATAAAGGCTTCCATTTTTCCACATCTTGCCAAAAGTTGTTATTCTTTTTTACATTGATATCTTAATGGATAAGAAATAGCATCACATTGAAATTTGGTTTCCATGTCTCATGATCAGGGCTGCAAAATATCTTTTCGTGTTTGTTACACATCATCTTGACACAAATGTCCATTCAAGTCCTTTGTCCATTTTTCACTGAAGTATAAGATTTCTGTAGAGTTTAGGACTTCTTTATTTACTACAAAGGAGACCCTTCACAAATATATGATCACAAATCTTTTCTGCCATTCTGTATGTTGCAATTTACTCCGTTATGTCCTTTGTTACCAAAAACTACTTATATTCCATGCAGTCCCTTCTGTCTGCTTTTGCATTTGTTGTTAAGAATATAGTGGCTCATGATTCACTAGAATCACACTGCTGTATGATAGGCCTCTTAAATACATCATTTTCTCTTTATTTTTAATACAGGGCCTTGTTACACAACTCAGACTCATAGTGTTTCTCCTGTCTCAGCCTCTCCAGTGCTGGAATTACAGGCATGCACCACTATACTCGGTTTTGGGACTGGCGCAGCATATGGTACCAAGGATCGAATTCAGGACCTTGTGCTTGCCAGGCACTTAGACAGCCAACCTATCTCCCTAGCCCTTAAACACACCTTTAGAAGAGTCATTTGCTGTGCAAATCACCTTATACAGAGGTAGTTAATATACTAGATGTCTAAATGAAAACATAGGATCAGGGCTGCTGATGCACTTTGAATTTTAACATTTGAAAATTACACGTTATTAAGATTTTAAACATTGCCAGAATCAAATATACATCTCCTACATGGGCTCTATTGCTTTTGATATATACTGAACATCTAGACTTTCTGAAAGGATAGAGTAAAACTGAGTAAAAACTAAAACTATTTAAGATTATAGATTTTAAGAAGACTAGTGATGTTTCTATTTCTTCTTCTATTTTGTTATCTATCAATTCCCATTCCAGAAGATTGTGAGAGGTATTCCCAAGAAGAAAGACATGAGTTATATTTGACCCCTTTCTTTTTTTCTTTGAAAAATGAGTAACACAGACTAGGCCTCAGTACCTAAAGCAAACAAGCCACCTTAGTCCTGAGATAAACATCTTGTCTGGTTAAAGTCAGCTATTAGTCACTAGGTAACCTTGTGTCACATGTTACTAACTTTGCAAAGTATAAATAAAGGGCCGTTCGTTGTGGAAAAAAAAAATATATATACACACACACAAGATAGGACAGATACTTTCTCTTAGTTTATTGAGAAGAAAGGTCTGTACTGATATTGTTTAGACAAAATATCATGTCTGCATCTTGTCCTCTGAATAACTACTATGAAGACAACAATATGCAATGTATTAATTATTGTAACTGCCCTACTAAACTGTTTTGAAACTGTTTCATTACTATTTATCTTTTTTCTCATTAAAACGGATAAAAAAGAATAAGTTTAAAAAGCAAAAAGAGACATGCATAAAGTGAAGGCATACTCACTAAGCTTCCAAAAGGGATCAGTGATACAGTAATTCTAGCTACCTTAAAAGATAGAAAATTTAGGAATATATAAATATCTTATAGAAGTTAGCAACAGACATATACATTGACTTCAAAAAATCAATTTGAACTACGAACTAGAAAAAAACTCTTTATCAGTTATGGATAAATGACTTCCCTTTCTGTTTTCTGGATTCCTCTTTCCAAGTGCATGTGCTGGGAAAAGGCCAGCAGCTTTGATCTCAAGTTTAATCTCCTTGGCTAACTGTAAACCATTCTGCCTGGAGAAGGACTCTGGTATAAGTATGAGAACATGATCCAAGTTGACTAAATTCCTCAGAGATCAGAGGACAGTGTCATAATTAACAATTTCATTCATATAATCCCAAGAAGGGAGGAACAATTTCCAAACATCAGGCAGGTTTGGGGGAAAGCATGTCAAACAGTTGTTTTTTAGCAAAAGGATGGGAAGAACATTACATTGGAAAAATGGGTAAGGAACTAAAGAAAGAAAAATTCCAAATCTGTACCATATACTAATGTGATTGAAATAAAGTCAGAATGTCATTTACATTCTTGCTAAAAATGGAAAGTTATACAAAGATACTCTGTAAAGCCTCATCCTTAGAATGCTTATAGTGCTAGATAAATCAGTCCAGTTCCATAGGTTTCGAAGGTTCTTTTGCAGTTAACTACAAAGCTCAAGGTTGAAACAGTTTTGTATTTATATACCCTGTGTGAACTGGTCAAACAGACAATATATCAGCAAGCTCTGTATTCTTTCTCGTATGTGTTTGGTCCGCAGGCCATAGATAATGGGGTTTAAAGTGGGTGGAATAATCAGGTACAGGTCAGCTAACAGCACTTGCGTATGTAAGGGTACCATGTCCTGCCCTAGCCAGGCTACATAGATGGATGCCATGCCAGGTAGATAGTATAGGGCCATGACAGCCACATGGGAGCCACATGTGCTTAGTGCCTTCCGCTGAGCGTTCTTGGAGGAAAGATTGAAAACTGTCCTGAGAATCATGATATAGGAAGCAGCAATGAAAGCCACATCAGAGCCCACAATAATGGAGGAAGCAATTAGACTGTAGAGACTGCTGGGCATGGCATCAGCACATGCCAACTTGGCCACAGCCATGTGCTCACAGTAAGAATGAGGAACCACGTTGGAGCCACAGAAAGGCAAATGACTCAACATCCAACTCAGTGGAGACATGAACATGACTGCCCTGGAGGCAATGGTCATGCTCATTACCAGCATCACTTTGGGAGTGAGGATTCTCTTGTAGTGTAGGGGCTTGCAGATGGCTACATAGCGGTCAAACGCCATGGCCAGCAGCAACCCTGTCTCCACAGCTGTGGCTGCATGCACAAAATACATTTGAGTGAAGCAACCATTGAAGCTGATGGAGCCATCTCCTGTGCAAAAGATGCTCACCATCTTGGGTGCCACAGAGGAAGCCATAACAATGTCCACAGCAGCCAGAATACAGAGGAAGCAATACATAGGCTCTTGGAGAGTGGAATCCATGCAGATGACAGTCACGATGAGGGTGTTTCCTAGCAGGGCTATGGTGTACATGGCACTCAGTGTGACAGCCAGCCACAGGTGTGAAGACTGCAAACCTGGAATGCCCACAAGGAAGAAGGTGGCAGGGTTTTCCGCTGTGTGGTTGTAGGATGGCCCCAGCATCACAGATGAGACTGTTTTCACTTTAATTTATAGAGTTGTAAGAAAAGAGGCAAACGTGTCAGTCCTCTTCTTGTCTGTGGCAGCGATAAATCCTCTAAATATTCTCAACTTGAGAATAGTCTTCAGATCAGAGAAGTGATGTCTGGAAAAACTATCCCACTCCAACTTCCATCCTTCTCCATAGTCTTCATGTTCCTAACTTCAATTTGTTGTTCAAGGATCATTTGTTAGGGTTCCTCTTTTGGGAATTCTATCTTTACTCCCTTTGTTACATACCCATCCATAGCTCCTTTCTTAGGCGTTTTCATGAAATCTCTCCCACTGACCCTTGAAGGATCTAGACTGACAGTTTCTGTTGTGTGCTTCTGATTTTATTGTATGCTAGCCGTGTGTGTGTGTCCTTTTAGAGGCTTTCTTTCCAGTAGTGAACTTGACTTGTAGCACACTGTAAAGTGATACACATTATATATATTCAGTATAACTTTTAATTTCTGCATTATAAAAAAATAAATGTGAGGCATTTATTTTGTACACATAAGAACAAAACATCTTTGTTATTGAAGAGATTTGTTAATAGGTCAGGAAAATAAGTTCATTAGTGAACATTATCTCTTTCCATATGAGATAATAATTGTCTAGAAACATTTATAAACCTTACCATCTCTAAATTTCACCCCGATCTTTGAACTAGCTTTGTTTGATTTAATAACAAATCAAGACTAACTTATTTATGAACGTTCCCATGAGTTTTCTAGTACTTTGGCTACGCCCTTTTCATGATAAATTAACAACACATTCCAATCAACAAAGAAGTTTCATTCATTGAAAAGCAAAATATCTTGAAATACATTTTTCATTCACTGAAATAGCAAAAGCTATTTGGGAGCTGGCCAAATAGCTCAACAGATTAAAGTGCCTGCAAGCAGG